TAACGCCCAGCCCTCCCCGTGCCCCCTGTGGCTGCCTCCCCTTTCCGTCTGTTGAGAGAGGAAGCTAGGGGGTGGCGGGTGCAACCCTGCAGGGCACTGATAAAGGGCCAGCCCTGCCCCCGCCCTCTGGGGCCACTGTGGTCAGACCAGCAGGCAAGGCAGCCAGCTCCCTCTGGGACCCACGGCCCTCCCCTGGTTCCACCTCGACCGACCCCGCCCTTCTCGGGAAGCTGGTTGCATAACCCAGTGGGGTGTTTGGCAACATTGCTTGTGGCTTGACCTGCCGCTGCTGGTGGTGTACACACACGTTATGGGGGTGAGGTGGGGGTGGGTTGGCCAGGTGTGACAAGTCAGCCTTTTTTTACAGATGGAGAGTAGTACAGCAGTAAAGGCATGGGGCCACCGTTTTCTCTGTATTCTGTCTCTGATATCTCTGCTGAAATGGGAGAATCTTGAGGATAGGAGAAACTTTGCTGAAGTGGGAGAGTCTTGGGGAGAGGAGAACCCCTGCCTCACCAAGCCACAAGCACTAGCACCTTGGACTCCAGACGCTCCACCACTTGTAATGGGGCAAAGGAGGCTTAAAGCAAAAGGACCTCCAGAATCTGAGAGGAAGGTGCTCTAGGAGCCAGCTCCTCCCTTGAGGGTTTTCTGGATCAGGACACAGCCTGGGCACCACAGTGACATCCTCCTCCTGTAGAAGAGGAGTGAGGGGGAGGGGGAGAGACATCTCCACCTGCACGGTTACCTGAGTGAAGGCTGTCTCTTCACTAGCTCACCCTACATGTCCATGTCTGTCCCCTCAAATAAGTAGTCAGTGACACTAGATACTTCCATGGGCCCCTGTTGCTTGCGGGATGAAATGCTCTCTCTCAGCTTGGCTTTAAGACACTCTGTCGACCTGGAGCAGTGGCTCAAATCTGTAATCCCAACACTTTGGGAGGCCAAAGCAAGAGGATTGCCTGAGCTCGGGGTTCGAGACCAGCCTGGACAACTTGGGAGACCTCATCTCTACAATAAATCAAAACATTAGCTGGGCATGGTAGCGTGTGCATGTAATTCTGGCTACTTGGAAGGCTGGGGTGGAAGGATTGCCTGAGCCCAGCAGGTCAAGGCTGTGGTGGCCGTGAGCATGCCACTGCACTGGAGTCTGGGCAACAGAGTGAGACTCCAACCAAAAAAAAAGACACTTTGTTGTCTAGCCCCAGTCCGATTTTCCAGGCTTATCTTCTACTACTTCCCACCCCCTGCCCCACCCTGGCAAACCCCAAACATTACTCTGTTTATGCCTCTGTCTTCACACCTTTGCTTGGCATACTCTTTCCTCCTCCTCTGCCTGGGACATTCCCAAACATTCTCCACAGCCTAGCTTCATTGTCACCTCCTCTGTGAAGCCTTCCTTGAATTTCTTTTTTTTTTATTTTTGAGTTGGAGTCTCACTCTGTCGCCCAGGCTGGAGTGCAGGGGCCGTCCCACCATAGCCTCGACCTGCTGGTTCAGGCAATCCTTCCACCTCAGCCTTCCAAGTAGCTGGAATTACGTTCACGTGCTGTCATGCCCAGCTAATTTTTTGATTTATTGTAGAGACAAAAATCTCACCAAGTTGCCCAGGCTGATCTCGAACCCCTGAGCTCAGGCAGTCCTCTTCCCCTGGACTCCCAAAGTGCTGGGATTACAGGCTTGAGCCACCGCACCTGGTCACCTTCCTTGAATTTCATCCAGCAGAATTCATTTCCTTCTCAGTTCCATAGCACTTTTCTTTTTCTTTTTTGAGTTGGGGTCTGACTATGTTGCCCAAGCTGGAGTAGTGGTGCGATACCAGCTCACTGCACCCTCAATCTCCTGGACTCAAGCCATCCTCCAACCTCAGCCCCCTGGGGCTACAGGCGTGCACCATCACGCCCAGCTAATTTTTTTCACTGTGTTGCCCAGGCTGGTCTCAAATTCCTGGTCTCAAGTGATTCCCTGGTCTTCGCCTCCCAAAGTGCTGGGATTACAGTTGTGAGCCATCAGCACTTTTTTTTTTTTTTTTTGAGTTGGAGTCTCACTCTGTCGCCCAGACTGGAGTGAAGTGGCC